GTTACCCCATTTCCATCTATTTAGAGTGCTGGGAAGAGGTTGAAACAGCCCTGTGTTTACAGTAAACTTTAGGGGAAAATGCTGAGTGCTACTGAACGGCTCTTCACCCACTTATTAGTATCTACCCTAGCTGCCATCAATAGCTGGAGTCTTAATTAAACAAGCAGATGCAGGAGTGTCAATCATACGCAGAGACAAGACTGTAACAGTCTAATATACAGCGTTCTGCTGGGCATTTTGTTCCCCTGACATTACTGTAAGCTCTGAAGGAGAAATCACGTGAAAGAAATGCAGACAAAAAAAACATCAATGTAATTCACCACAGCATAGCACTTTATTTGTTTCTCTATACATAATTATCATTTATTTGAATTTTTTTTTTTAATTATTTTCTGTTTGTTTTATTTTTTTGAGTCAAGCTAAAACTCATTATACTTGTAAAATGACAATAAAGGAACTTAAATTTTTTTTATTCTGTCATCATTTACTCTCGTGTTGTTTCAAACCTGTTAGAAGTTCATGTGTTCTGCTAAAAAAAAAGAAGAAAAAAAAGGGATTTTGAAGAATGTGGGTAACCAAAGCAGTTTCTGGTCTTCGTTGACTCCCATAATATCCAACTGTTACTAACATTCTTCAAAATATCTTCCTTTGTGTTCAACAGAAGGAAGAACTTAATGCAGGTTTAGAACAAGTTGAGACTGAGTAAATGACGACACATTTTTATTTATCCCTTAATAAACTTAATAATAATAATAAAACTTTGAACTTATAAAATATAATTGATTATTCATATATAAACACATGAAAATAACTGACTGAATAAATAAAAATAAATAATAGTGCTGTCAAATTGATTAATCGCAATTAATCACATCTAACATAAAAATATGTAAAAAAATATATATATATATATATATATATCACATACACGCACACACAAACTTTTATGTTACATGCGATTAATCACGATTAATCGATTTGACAGCACTAATAAATAAACAACACATATGATAAATAAAACCTTTAAAATAAATGTTTGAAAAAAGAAAAATGACAGAGATTTGTTAATGATAAGATAGCTTGAAAAGGGCCAAAATCACAAACAAATATTAACTCTCCGTTCTTTATCATTTAAATGAGAAAGTGGTTAAAAAGCCAGAATTATGCATGAATTCCAGGCCTTAAATCAAAAGCTTCTTGTCGAAAAGAGAGAGCTCAATTCCCACTTCTCCACAGGATTTTGCTTGGCCTGCGTGGTGTCTTTGTCAGAAGCAGTTGTATGTTATCTGAGTAACAGAAACAGCCCTGGTAATCCTTTACGTGGCAGGACGCATAACTGTTCGAACTCCCCAGTCAGTGTGGGGGTTCGTGGCGCTCCATTGTCATTGAGCAGCGGCTCACACGGTGTTACCATTGGATTCTTTGTAATGTGGCCTGAGTTTTTTGCATGACCATGAGGCCAATCTGCTTGGATTGCTGTGCTTGGTAAGGGGCCTGTAGGTTTTCAATGAGGTCTGTATTTCACTCACTTTCAACTGTTATGCTCCCTGCCTATATCCTTGTCCTCAGTGTTAGTGTGCCGAGAGGAGCTGAAGGTGTGATGTTATTTTATTTAGAGTTCGACTAATTAGACCACATCTCTAAGAGTTTCATCCAGCTAATGATATTACCAGCCAAGACTAATTTAAGTGGGAGCCTTTCCAGAAACGGCACTGAAGAACATCCAATCAGAGGACAGAAAGAGACTCGAAAGCCATTTACTGATGAGGATGGGCGAACTTTTTTATTGCTTTTCCCCCTCTAATCCATAAGAATGGGAACAAACAGGCAGCTACTAATAATAATTACATTTACAATGTTCTCACAGCCGTCACAAACATAGATCCTCTGTGGCCATAACGGAGAGAACGAGAGTGTATGTTCGGGAAAGGCTTTGTCAGAAGCATGTATGATTTCCTTTAATAGTTCCAGAGGCCCAGACACAGATTCATTAGTGATTCCTGTAAGGTCCATCATGTCAGGAGGGTTAACAGGAAGAGCGTCGGCAAGGCCACACAGAGAGCTTTACTCACATCTGTCTCTATCTGCTCTCACTTTGCACCTCTTTCAGCCTGTTTCTCATCTCATATCATTAGCTTTATATATGGCTCATATCACTTGTGCTTTAATTGCAATTCTTTCAAGCACACACTCACAACATTTATCTTATTGTCTGAAACATGCATATTCGGATGATTCTTCAATTAGGAGAAGTTTTCTGTCCTTAGTTAGCATTTTGTTTTAAAGAATGGATTAACATTAGCTTCAAACGTGTCCCTTTTATTGTTTCCAGATGGAGTAAAGTTTCTAAAGGGTTCTGTCAGCTGCTATAGAATCTTTTTGTCATCATAGAATTTAAAATGTTATGAATTAATCAGCTCGTAACAATACTTTATCACTAGAAAAATTGAAATAACCCGTGGGTTCTAGAGGTCCGCTGAACCTTTAGTGTAATGCATATTGCATACATTTAGCAGGATTACTCTATTATGGGCTTGTCATCTGGCAAAAATTCAATTCAAAACATCATAATTGTTTGTAGATGTAATTGCATTATATATTTGAAGACCATAAATGTAATTCATTTTAAAATGTCTACATAATAAGAATAGCTCTGTTTTAAAGGTAGCCTATTATTTGAGAATTTAAGTTCAGAAACAATCCGTTTATTTGTTTGCATAGATTTTTTTTTTTTTTGCTAACTAGCTGGATTAGAAAGTCTGAGGATTAAAAAAAATTCTGCAAAAGGAGAAATGTTATTACCATCATGCACAATATTAATCAGCAGGTTCGGTTGCATAAACTATTTAAAAGTTTTCTTCAAGTCTGAAGCCAGTTGCATATGCATAGCCATTATGTTAAGATGGTGTCTTTACTAGTATCCAACTAGCGATTATCAAGAGGCAATCAATCTTAATTTTGGTATCAAATTAGACCATTCTACGTTTTTATGTATAGTCTACTTGACTTCAAGGGATAGTTCACTCTAAAACTAAATTCTGTCATAATTAACTTATCCATATGTTATTCTAAACCTCTATGAATTTCTTTCTTCTGTTGAACAAAGAATATTTTAAAGAATGTTAGTAATCAGACAGTTGACGGTAGCCATTGACTTCCATAAAAATACTATGGAAGTCAATGGAGCCATCAACTGTTTGGTTATAACCTGTATTCTTTAAAATATCTTCTTTTGAGTTCAACAGAAAAAAGAAACTCATTCAGGTTTGGAACAACTTGAGGGTAAGTAAATGTTGACAACATTTTCATTTCTGTGTGAACTATCCCTCTAAGACAGTTATGGACAGTCTTAAAGAAAAAAAGTGTGATTAACTAGTCTTAAGACTAGTCTTAGCAGTTTATGCAAGTTTTTAAGTCAATTACATGAAAAGGTAGATTGGTCTAATTTGAACCTGAAAACGTAAGACTGATTAGCCCTAACTGTTTTGGTCAGACTTCTTAACTTAGCAGCAATGTTTGCCCTTGCAGATCTTTATTTCAAGACATGTGAATATAAGAGGTCAGACATGCTTATAATGTACCATTCAAATAAATGAGTTCAGTAACTGTCTTTATTTACTCACATACATTCATTACTCAATGTGCTTCACTCTTCAGCCGCAGGCATGTGAGCTCAAATGGACTCTTTCGCCGTCTTCTGGTGAAATGCAAAGCTGCAGACAGTTCAGGAAAGTCGAAAAACACAAATTTTATTTTAGAATTTACAACAAACAAGACATACACACTTTGATCCAGCTATATTTATATTTAAGTTGGTTATCAGCTGAAAAATGCCCCAAAATGTATGCGAACATTTCTATTCTAATTTATTTAATTGTATTCTAACTATTCTTTTTATTGATGTATGAAGAATTGTATTTTTTTTATATAAATCGTATTCATCTTTTATTTATGAATTCTAGATCCACATGTTAGACCTATTGATTTCTTTAATAGTTTGGCCTATTTGGCCTATTATATGCTCTGAAATGTTTGATTATTTCCAAATGTAAGATTTTTTGTGTCTCTTCTGTGCTGTAAGATTGAGTGGGTGTATTTTCCATCAGAATTGATTATGTGATGTACCTTGGTATCAAAATATGTTTCCATCTCTGCAGGCATAAGGTAATACAAGATACAATATTCTCTTAAAGGATTTAAAACCACAGTTGCTTATCAAGTTATTCTGTGTGGTTTATAAGGACCATGTTGACCTAATAGGGTATAGTCTTGATGGCATCATAAAATGGTTGCAAGAGAAGTAAGCTACAAAGAACTTCAATATAGCGACTTTCCCTCGTCCCTTCCTGTTACAGGCACAGCATAATGTAGCTTAGTTTCACAAGACTATAGGGGCTTCTTCTTCTGCTTCTTCCTCTCCTTTCATTCTGCAAATATCTTATTTTGGGACTTTCTTTCTCTATACTCTGATCTGCACAAACTTCATCTGTCAAATGCAATACTTTGGATAGGCCTATTAATACAGATTTACTTTTCTATCTTATAGAATTCTATTCTTATCTAATAAAATGTGTTAGCCCTTATTCAAAATTGATCTCTGCCTATCATTGCTTGTCTGCCTGGATCACTGCAACAACCAACAGGTCCAAAACCAGCAAGAGTACCACCTTTGGCTGGTTTAAGAATTTTAGCAGGAATGGTAAGCACAAATAGTGTAAGAAATACTTTCATATTGTAATAATTTAAAAAAATAAAATAATTATTAGGCCTATATTTTGACATTGGCTGGCTACAGCCTATACCTATTTTTGATGTTACTTTTAATGGCTGAAATAATAAGGGTCAATTACCTTTGTGTATGTAATACTAAGTCTATGTAGTAATTAAAGCACGTTGAACCCTTGTTTTGTTTTTTACAGTCTATGGTTGAAACACGAAATAGTCCTGACAAAGATGTTGACTATTGTCGAAAGGCGATTTTTTTGAATTGCTTGCCTCTAGTTTTGTCCCTACGTGGTACCCGTATCAATTTGGTTAATCCAAAATGGCGACGACCACAGTTGGAAACGTGAGTTGTTCTTTAACTTTAACCAAATAAGTTAGTCCTTATTTGAACTTATACATAGATGTGCTGTAATGGGTCTAGTATATTATAGTTTTATCGTCGGTTTGCCATGGAATTGTCTGTTACTTCGCGGATAAATGACAAGATGCGGCCAAAATCACGTTGGCTAACGTTAACCTGATAGCCTTTATGATTTATATTCTCTGCCAAATAGTTAACTAATATAGTTGTCTTTTGCAGGATATTATTGACTCTGACCTTCCCACTGCTGTGAGTCTACTCAACAGTCTCACAGAACAGGTCTGTAATGTAATTTAGATGGGCAGCATCACAATTGGATGATATAATGCAGAGATATGAGGAGAATGTGGAGAAGATATGATGATGATTGACACTTATATATTTTCAGGTTGCTTCAGTAACAAGTCATGTCCGGGATATGATAAAGAAAGTCAGAGAGAAAGCGTTTCAGACTTCTAAGGTAGAACTATTTTTATGGTGGTAGAACTATTTTTATGGTATTTAAATACTCTCGCTCTCCCTCTCTCTCTCACACGCACACACACACAATGTTTATGACATTTTATTTTCCTTTTCGCTCTAGGGTTTGTCTTTTCTGGACGTGAGATATCATCTGTTATTGTTTTACTTGCAAGATATTACTCATTTGATCAGTTTAAAGTCAGAAGGAGAAAGTTTGAAGGACAACAGCGCCATCCACAGGCTGGTCACCATAAGGACGGTACGACATAAAAAACTGTCAGATTTAAATTTTCTATTAATATTTGCTCATTGAATACATTTTTTTAGACAATATTCCCTTAATCGTATATAACAAATAAAAGAGATTCATCCATTTTTGTCAAATCCCTCAGATTAATTGATTCATCCTCTACAATAATTCAGAATTCTGCCTGTTCAGGCTTCAAATCAAATGTGATAATGCAATAAACTACATGTTTAACAAGTAAATAAACTTTAGTTTTTGCCTCATGCCTTGGTTAATTTCTGACTCTGGTACATAGTTAAATATCTACATACTGCACGCATCAGGTCACATCTGTTATAAATCAGTATACTTCATTATTCTACAGTATTCAGACTACTTTTAATGCTGTGCCTATGCTTAAAGTGTATTTTTCTCTTTTCTGTCTTTGTTGTATAGGTTTTGGAGAAAATGCGTCCGCTAGATCAAAAGCTGAAATATCAGATTGATAAATTAGTGCGGACTGCAGTGACAGGCAGCCTCTGTAAGATTTTTGATGTTCTTGTTATTGATTGCATATTTTAAGAACACTGAACCACAAGTTTACTGACTTGAATGATGGTGTTTCTTCCAGCTGAAAATGACCCTCTACACTTGCGCCCTAATCCTCAGAATCTGGTTAGCAAGGTAAAGCTCTTGTCATGTAATATAACAATAATCACTGCAATAATGATCCAATCACAGACTCTTAAGCATTTTTCTATTAAAATCCAAACAGCGACTTGTTATTTGGCCGGGGCAGTCGGAGTACATATCATTTTATTTCAAATTGCTGCATTTCTTCCACACAGCTCAGTGAATCTGAGAATTCAGGTGATGAGGGCGAAGAAGGAAAAACAAAACGGGGAAAAGAGCCTTCATCCGGCAGGAGATATGTACCTCCTCGAATTGCTCCAATGCACTATGGTAAGTCCTTTTATTTTGTAACAGTTCAATTTATCTTTATTTCACATTAGGATTGAGATGTAGAGACATAATTGCAGTTAATACTCATCCCAAACCCTCTCCTGTCCATACACAGATGGGGACACGACGGAAGCAGACCGGCAGAAGGAGCGCATTGACAAACAGAAGAAAGCGGCTCTCCGGAGCTCCGTGATCCAGGAGCTCCGGCAGCAATACAGCGACGCTCCGGAGGAGATCCGAGACCGCAGAGACTTCCAGACTGAGCGGGAGAGCCGAGAGGAGCAGAACAGGTACATCATGCGGAGGTTCTAGATAATAGAGAGTATTTTGAACCTAGTTTCACGGTTTAGATTACATGTAAATTAAGCGCTTGGTAGTCTTTCAGATGTTTTTTCCTAATACTCTTGGAAAATATTTTGTGAAAGGAAAAACTACGAGGAGTCCATGATGGTCCGTCTCAGTATGACACGCGAGCAGAGGCTCAGGAAGAGAGGAATGATGGGAATGGCATCACAGCTGAGTAACATCACACGATTCGGTGACATCACTGCTCTGACGGGGGGAGAAGCACAGGTGAGCTGGACAATGGCATCATGGGTAGTTTTGCATATCTTTCAAAAGTTCCAGTTGCCGTTGTAGTGACAAATAGCAGTAGTTGCATGTGTATTTCTGCAACAGCTGAAATCCACTCGCGTACATGTAGATATGCAGCGTTTATAAAAGCTTCATGTGGTTAATCTACGACAGAGAGGACTTGAGCTATAACTGCTGATCTCAGATCCTTCATTTTAGAAAATGTGTCTGTATTTTCTCTTTTCATAGGATATTGGTAATTCAAAACCCAAGAAAAAGAAGAAAACCATTAAGAAAAGTAAAAAGAAAAGTAAGTATTTGTTTTGTATGCTGTGAGTGCTTTCAAAAATATAAGCTTCCAGTGTTGCATTTTAATACATATTTTATGGTTTCAGTTTTCAGAAAGCACAAGTAAACCTCTGATGCAAAGGAGAACGTTTAAGAGGAATTTCAACAAACATTTTTTTCTTCAGGATTCTAAATAATCTGTTTGGGACAGTTTCCATTTTCCTTCCATGAACAAAATGGTATATTGAAATATGTGTGGAGCTTTTTATGTAATTTTGGTTAATGCAAGATGTTGATCTCGGTATCGATCGGATTAGCATAACCAAGTGCATTCTGTTGTAAGACATTCTTGTAAATGTGATGGATGCTAGGATCGTAATACGTTTACAATATTTTCATATTTAATTGAATATAATTAAAAATTTTGTGCTGATTGAAAAAAATTCCAATTCTACACCATTCATTTAGCAGTAAATGAATGCTGTCAAGAGTTAAAACATTTTTTTCAACCCATGTAGAGTCTGCATCTATTAAAGTGGCCATTACTTTTAACTGCTGTTTTGAATGGTTTTTGTCCCTTCCAAATCGCAGGATTATATTAAATGTGGCCAATGACTTCAAAATCATGATACGCAGAACTGTTTCTTTTACAGGATTTGTTCAAATTTTGATGTTTATTGTAATGGCCAGTGGGTCTCAATATGTCTAATAGGTGTACTGTATAACACTGTAAACAAACAGATTTCAGGACACAAGGGATAGGTTATAAAAGACATAGGGTAAGATGCCTTCCTTAAAGGGATAGGTCACCCAAAAATGAAAATTTTGTCATTATTTGTTCTAAACATAATGAGTTTCTTTCTTTTGTTGAACACAAAAGTTATTTAGAAGAATGTGGGTAACCAAAAAGTTTCTGGACCCCATTGACTTCCATAGTATATATTTTTTTCATACTATTGAATTCAATGGGGACCATTAACTGTTTGGTTGAATGTATCAATTCAACTGTATGAATTCAAATGGATTGATTTCACTCAATTAGCCTATAGGTTTTAATGAAAAGTAAAGATGTTTGATATGTACATTGCATGCATGGAATTATTAAATAACCCCATCAATTACAAAATGTTTTTTAAAAAATAAATAACATGCCATTTGGGGCCTTCAGTGCCAAATCATAATCAAAAAACATTGTATTATATTGATTTTCAAAGTTTTGGTGTGTCTATTTGTTATTAAAGGGGGTTTTGGAGACAATGTCATAGATCACTCTTTTCCAGAGACACAAAATTAGATTAACCTCAAAAGTGTTGAGATGAAATTTTGCTATCATTCAGAATATGTCCATTGTGATCTGATTTTTTTGTTGTGTGAGGGTATATATGGCAGAAAACTAAAGCTTGGGCATTTTTGAGTCCCCATAACATAATTCAGGTAAAATCCGTTGTACATTATGCTGGCATGAGAAACTTGCCTCGCAAGAACCAGAAGAGTCCTCTGCACAGACCCTACGGCCAGCTTCAACTGAAAGAACTGGATGATATATTCTGAATGATCAATCCACATTCTGACTTATGATGCAGCCTGGAATTAAACCACACCATGTTCATTCGTCTAACCCAGGGGTTTCCAAACTTGGTCCTGGAGGACCACAGTCCTGCAGAGTTTTACTCCAACTTGCCTGGAATTTTCTGGTATGCCCACAAGACCTTGATTGGCAGGGGAGAGGTGTGTTTAATTGGGGTTGGAGTTGAACAGGATTGGACACCCCCGGTCTAGCCAGAGGCTTGGTCCCCCGACTGAGCCTGATGTCTCTTAAGGTTTTTTTTTCTCTCCATTTTTGTCACAGATGGAGTTTGGGTTCCTTGCCACTATCATCTTTTTGGCTTGCTCATTCAGGAACACTTAATATTTGACAATAATTGTCAATATCATTAATTTGATTGCACTGACACTACTGGATGAGAACTGTACTTTGCTGGATGATGAAATCATTCACCTTTATAGATTAATTTAAAGGGTTAGTTCACACCAAAATGAAAATTCTGTCAGTACTTACTCACCCTCATGTTTTTCCAACCCCGTAAGACTTCCGTTCATCTTCGGAACTCAAATTAAGATATTTTTGAGATTTCACGTAGTGTAACTGCACAAAGGTTCTGTGTTGCATGTCACACACAGGCTCACTATTGGGCGTTGCTGGTCATGTGTGTGTGTGAGATGCGTGTGACGTACAACCTAGAAGCTTTGCGCAGTTTCACTATGTGAAATCCCACGGCCCACAGAGAAGGAAATTAATAGTTGAATAAAGTCGTTATTTTTGTTTGTTTTTTGCACACAAAAAGTATTCTCGTCGCTTGATAAACTTAAGATTGAGCCACTGTAGTCACTCGGACTATTTTAACGATGTCTTTCATAACTTTTGGGCCGGTCAGTTTCGATCCCTTATAAGCCTAGGAGGAGTGAGACAGCTCTCAGATTTAACAAAAAATATCTTAATTTGTGTTCCGAAGATGAACGAAAGTCTTACGGGGTTGGAAAAACATGAGGGTGAGTAAGTACTGACAGGATTTTCATTTTGGGGTGAACTATCCCTTTAACTAGTTGCATAACTGATGAACAGTTATCAACACTAAACTGACTTCAACTTCAATAGTTACCATTGTCTTTCTAGAGCTGCTTTACAGCAGAATTTAATTATTTTTCTGCTTATTGTACAGCTGCTTTGAAACAGATTGTATTGCTATAAAGGTGACTTGACCAAAAGCATAAAAAAAATATGGTGGGCAGGAGTCCTGTCTGGCCAAACCACTAACAGGCTTCCCACACCTTTTGACCAATAAATCCCCCCACTGCCTTCTGGGTGATTTCTTATTTTACACATGTCGCCCTCAAAAATGGTGATGTCTAAGCCAATAAAGTTTTTAGAAAATCTTATTTTCTCAAAAACCATGAGCAACCAACAGATGGCAAATTGAAACTTAATGGTCTTTAAATTCCCACCTCAAAAAAAGACCCAAACACTTTAAGTACTTTTTACACAATGTCTTTTATTTTTTTTCTAATTACAGACTCATGGGTTAAAAATAAAATAAAAAAGGAAAACATCTTTTCTCTTTTCGTCCATACCCACTCCCCCATCTGAAAAAGGAAAACGAACAGAAACGAGAAAACCATCTGCACACAAATCCCCCTCCCTCCCCCCCAAAATAAAAGCTCCGAAGCCCTCAAGTAACCGATACCTGTAGCCCACGCGTTAGCGCTCCATCGTGCCCTAACTGCACTGTGCGCTGAGACAGACAAGGCCCTAGAAGAACCCTCCCCTTCATCCTCTTTCTGGTCCTGCCTCTCTCACTCACTTGCAATTTAAGCAGCCATTGCTCTATCATGGCTCTGCCTTCACGATATATAAATTTGTGTGGTGGATGTGTGCGGTGTATGTCTGTATGTGTTAACATGGGCCTGGTGCATCTCAGTAAATTTATGTTGGTAAAGCTCAGCGCTTGTTATTGTAATAAATGCCTCCCGCAGTGGGCCGGTGGTCGCCCTGTCCCCCTCCCCCTCCCCCCCACACGGAGAGGATGGGGTGAGTGTGCATAGCGGGAGCAGAAAGAGACAGAGACGCCGCCGAGACGGTAGGGGGCGCCGCGGCCACGGGAGGAGGGGTAGTCAGTCTCCACTGGTCCTGAAACCTGAAACGACAAGAAGTGGTCTAATATACAAAGAGAGAGCAAGGGAGAAGGGGGGTGGGGTGGGTTGGGGGGAGCACAGGAACAGAGGAAGGAAAAAAACTGATGGTCGGGAATGGCATATGGCTGCATGAGACAAAAAAATAACTCTTAAAACACAAAAGAAAAGATCTCAGAGCTCAGGCCATGCCATCTTACAATAGTCGTGTGATGTGGAAGATGGTTCAAGAACAGTAAAACGTAAAAACAACGCCGAACTCTAAACCATTGTCGGAATAACAGGTGATCCGAGTGAGGGATGAACAGGAAAGAAAACAGCGCTGGGGGGGGAAAGGGATTCCAGAGAGCACAGACAAATAGAGAATATGATCTCAAATAGCACAACTTTGTGAAAACAACAACATTCTTGCTATTAAATTGTTCACATATTCACGGTACAATAATAATAATAAAAAAAAAAAAGTTAACATTTTTTTCTGTTTGCCTTTTTTGAATGCAAACATAAGAGGGGCTGTTTGGTGAGAGAAAAAAATCACAGCCAGACAAAAGGACACATCTGCAGCCTGAGATTACATCATCATCTTCTCAAATTTAAACAAATGCCACCAAATCTCCCAGACGGCCATATTGTACCTTACCAGGGCGATCGCAACACCTCCTCACACCCACGCGCACACACAATCGCACACTGCGGCCAGTCAGTCTGTCTTTCCAGGAGATGCTCTTTTTTTCTTTTTTTTTTTCTTTTTTGTCTTTTTTTTCTTCTTTTTTTCTTCCTTTATTGAGAGGGGTCTTTTTTTTCTTTTCTATAGGGATATGGGGTGATAGTAAGGGGGATTTCATAGGGGGGGTAGGGAGGTATTAGTAAGGGGAGTACCACGATGTTGTTCGCCCTCGGCCCCTGGAAAAGAGAGAGAAAAAGAGGGTGAGTTCTTTTTTGTGATTGGTTTAAGAAGACGGACACCAATTCAGTTTTTTGGGGTACGAGTGTATATCAGTAATATGCATTTTAAAGGGCCGGTTGAGGACAAGCTGAACGTTTATGCACTCACGTTACAGGTATACACAATTCAAAATATGAAATGAAATGTATACCCCTCTTCTACGGATAACAAGATTTAAATAGTGATCAATGCAACCATGTGTAAAGAATCCAGTAATGTGGTTTACTATAAAGAGAAGCTGAGGAAGATTATCCAACAGCAGAATGTGTGTGCGCGTTAGTTATATTCAAGCTTTATAAATGGTCTAGTGTCCAGTGTTGGGGACAGTGAAAGCACGCTCTCCCTCTTTCTCTCTCTCTGAACGGGGCGGCTCCTGTGGTCTCTGTAAGGGAGAGATCCTGGGGACATGAACCCTCGAACACATGCACACAGTTACAGTCAATGACACACAGCTTTCCACAAATGGACTGGGCCACAGAGCGCGCACACACACACTCACACACATATATACATCAATAAATGCAGTGGCATCCATTC